TAGGTGGTAGTGCCACGATGCAAAGTCTCTCCGCGAAGCAACAGGAGAAACGTTATTATCTTGGCCATGATTCCCCCCACCCACCCACCCAACACTCCTCCTGCCGTCCGCCACTAATTCTTACTTGAATGAATGTAAAAGCTCTTTGCATCCACATGGAACGTTATTATCTTGGCCATGAACCCCCCCCCACCCCCCACACCCCCACACCCCACACTGCTCCTACCCTCCACTCTGTTCAGCCAGATGCTGTTGATACAAGTTAACTCATATATGAATGAATGTAAAATCCCTTTGCATCCACATGGAACGTTATTATCTTGGCCATGGCACCCCCCCCCCCCCCCCCCCCCCCCCACCCCACACTCCTCCTGCCGTCCACCACTTACTTGACTGAATGTAAAAGCCCGTTGCATCCACATCGAACGCTATTATCTTGGCTTAGTTTCTGAACAGTCTAACTTGGTTTCTGAATCGACTGTTTTGGTTTCTGAATCGGCCGTTTTGGTTTCTGAATCGGACTGTTTTGGTTTCTGAATCGTAGTTGCCTGAGCGGTTGGTTTCTCAATCGGCTAATGACCGGGGGAAGAGGGTCGGATTTGGTCCGATGGTTTGGAAGAACGTAAGCTGCAGTACATCCAGCAATTCATTCTAGAATAAGGACTAGAATAAGATAGAATAAGTGTGAATCCATGGGCTCTTCGGTGTTCTTTTCTGCAAGCTAGCAGACCCACCAAAGGCCAAACACTTTCCAATGATTTGTCAAGTGCTCATGAGTCATAAGTCATATATGGGAATGGGTCTTCTTTTGGACTTGTTCAACCTCTGCGAACAGATCTTCGCTAAAGGCTAAAGGATACTGAAGGTGTGTGTGTGTGTAGGTATGTAGGTATGTAGGTATGTATGCATGTAAATATTGTATATATATTATATATAGAACACATTAGCATACATTAGCAATAGAAAGCTTGGTTTCCGACCAGCACGACATCTGCAACTTCAACCAGGCCAAAAAGAAAGACGTTGCTTTAAATTCAGCATTTGCTTCAAATTGGCGTCTCATCGACATGAGTCCTACATGTTTCTGGCCTTGAATCATGGAGCATGACGGAGCCCTTCGGAACACCCTGAAACATCTCCGTCTCCCCGCTTGGGCAAGCTCACCTGTTTGACTCATGGAGACTGACTTCTCGACACACCCGGTGGTGTTTTGGATCTGTAAAGCTGCGCATCTGTGAATCTTTGAGAAGTGTGCAGTTCCCGGCAGTTTGGGTTCCTGACATCAGGATGTGTCTTACAACGAAGTCTATGACAAGCCACTGAGGCCACTCAGCTCTTTTCTGCCACCCCACTCCACCAACTCAGCCGCCACGAACGACCACCGCGCCAGACCGCACATCCATCGCCTCTCGAGAAGTGGGTGGCGCTGGCACGGGGACCAACCAAAGATCGCTGCTGAGTTCCTGCACCTTCGGATGCGAGTCGTACCTGTCGATGGCGCAAAAAGTGGTGGCGTTTGTTCGGAACGTGCCCGCCGCGGGACCGGCGCAGCGCGTGGGGTTTCTGGGACTGTAGAGGATCCTGAAGAGGAGTCCGTCAACGACACAACCTTGCGCCAGTTTGTAGGACAGGCGATCACATCTGCACATGGGCTGGTGGAAGACCTCTGTCGCGATGGTCAATTTGGTGAACGTGCTTCTTCTTACCAACCTATATTTGAATCAGAACAGCCATGGCATGAGTGCAATTGGTGCACAAAAAACAGCACCTGGAGAGTGGATGTGAAGCGGTTGTGAGTGGAGATTGTAGCTATGGATGGGCATCCCAAGCTCTGATTTGGCCGATCACTTGCTTGACCTGGTGAAGGTCTTTCGCCACATGGTCCAGGTTTTGACCCCCATTGAGTTGCGGAGGTCAAGTTTGTTGAGATCTTCCCATCATAGAGTGTACTGCGTTTTCGGAAACAGGCAGTGCCTAGTCTGGGTGTGGTTCGGAAATGGGTCATTCTTCGAGAACAGGGTACACTCCAAACTGACTACTGACCCACAAACTTGGCAAAGGGAAATCAATCCAATCCTATGTTTCCGATGTTTTTGACCCGCAAACCATCACAAGACGGACCGCGTGCGGAAACGAACGCGAACGCGGACGCGCACGTGAGCTGATGAGCTTGAGCAGCTTGAGTCGAAGTCAAACAACAGCAAGACATGACCTTGGTGGTCATGAGCACTAAGGGATAAACTAGGAACAAGGTTCGCCAATAGGGGCTCCTGGCATCCCTACTAGGAGCAAGGATTCTACTAGTCATTGGAGTCTCAAAAATGTCTTCCCGAGACAAATACAGGAATCCATAGGACTTCCATGGCCCCCCGCCTCTGAGCACGCGACGTGTCTCACGACTCCTTCCATAAACTCCAAGCGCCTGAGTGCCATGCGAGGCCGAGCGGCACTAAGAAGGCCATTTACAAAGGATTGGACCTTGAAGGACATTGAAAAAGTGTCTTCGATTCAACTAAGAACCTTCAGTGGGAAATCATCGTGAAACGATCGTGAAACGGTGAAACCCACCGTTTATCCGAGGATCCATGCGGAGCAAACGGAGTGTCCCTCCACCTGTGTCTTTCTCAAGAGTATAGGGGAACCAATTTCGTTCCAAAAGAATGAGACTGGTCTCCACTCCCTCATCTCCAGCTATGATCTGGGTCCTGATTTGGCTGGGAGGTGCTCTCCCTGGAGCCCCTTTCAGCCCGGTCGGTTGATCTCCCTGGTAGGTCAACCAGCGTCCCCCGGCTTTGACCACAGCCATGTATGTAAACTGGTCAGTTCAGAGGGGTAAGAACCGTCCTTGCCAGGGCTGTTGTGTGTGGGTAGAGAGAAACCTATATATATATATAGATATGATCCTATCATATCCTCTCTGCATGGACACACATGCCATCGACCACAAAACGACTGCGACCAAGGTCTCCACCCATGTGCGCAGAATTATCCGGTCACAGGAGCTCAAGCATTGCTTGTTGGAGAATCCAGACACCTACCGAGCCCGCGTCTGAATTGGTTGAAAAACGATGCCAACATGCAACATGCTCATTAAATCTCATGAAGCACGTGCAAGGACCTTCGAAGTCCAGGAGCCGAATGCTTTTTCGCTTCTCCGGTCTTGTGTGGTCCTAGATCTGGGCCTTGGCGAAGATCTGCTTCGTTGGCAATACGGAGATTTGGGTGTTGGTCAAAAAGGTAAGCAGTGTGTTGCCAAGTGTCAAGAGATGAGAAACCCCCGGCAGTGCTCTGGGCCGAAAACCACGGGTATACCGGCTGTCGGTGGCGGCAAAGAAGAAACCGCAACGACCACCCCTCAAGTGGTTGGAGTTCCTCCCCCTTAAATGCCGGGACAACCCAATTCTCAGGCTCTCGGTCCCTCACTTGCCACATACAGAATGATTTTGACACCTGTATGAAAAGTGTGTAAAGTGAAAAGCCTGCACCATCGAGAAAACACCAGCTGCACATCCCGGTCTACAGCAAACTACTCTGACACCATGGCGGAGGGCAGGGGGTTCCTTTGGAAGTGGCCACGAAACGTGTGCTGAACTTCATTGGACGGATCATGTTCCCAATAGGACTTCATGTGATGTTCCCAATCACAGAGAGTCGAGTGAGTGAGACATAGCACTGTCAAAAACGACATGATGTCTGGTAAATGAAGCAGGAATGGGAATCGGGCAAATGCACCCTCCATAATACAGGTTTTATGATGGTTGTACCAAATTGCGTTTAAAAGAGGGTTGCCTCATGGTGCCTCTATAGTCTAAGAAACAAAGTCGGAAAGCTGTGTCTCAACACTCTTCCCCATAGAGCCTGACAGTCTCCTCCAACACATAGAACCACATATAATTACCTTTGCCGCCCACAACTGACAACATTGGTGGTAGATTCATAAAAATCATCATAATTACATCCCCCACATCCTGGAAGTCCTCCACATTCCTCTCCCTGTACATACACCACTTCCTGTAACAAAGACCAACCAACGAAGAAAGCATGACTTCTTCGACCGTTTTCGCTGGACTTTCTTCGACGGTCTTCGCTACCACTCGTCGGCGACGTGACACGGGTGCGCTGGCGACGCCGGCGCTGGCGCTGTTGGCGGACCGGGGGGGGTCCTTGTAGGCGAGGTGGCCCTAGCTTGTGATGACTAAGCACTAGTCACTACCCAGCTGGTAGATCAAGTCCATCATCTTCGAACAATACTTTGCACCAGCGAGGGCGGAACTCCTGTCGAAATATTCAACCACGTTGGGCTGCTTTCACAGGCTATAAGAAAGAATCTCACAAATCGGCGTCAAATCTATTGTGCTGGAATTCTGGAAAGCTTTGGGTTTGAGGGCCATCAAGGGAGACATAGGAAGACTGTCATGATCGCAACATAAGAAGCTGTGTAGATATCTGTTTGAGTGGTACAGTATACATGCCCGTGATCAACAGGGGCTGCTGCCTTGGACTCTGATTTCACCAGAAAACCAGCGTTTGGATTGCCCTTCCAGCATTCAGAGATTCCAGCATTCAGAGAGTTCAGAGAAGGATGCTAGTTCCAACCACCAAGACCTGAAATGTCACAGGATATATACTGGTATGTTCAAACAGTTTTAAACCATGATCTCATGGAAATGAAGTTGAGTCGAGACTCCCCAACTGCGGACCTTCCAACCAGTCCGACTGCGGAAAAAGACCAGACCCACGAGTACCGGTCAAAGGAGGTGATGTCGAAAATCCCCAGGCCGATGACCCCCCGGATCTAATCAATTGTGTGGGAACCAACCTGTGGCCCCAGGATTGGTCAAATAAAGATTGGTCTCAACCACAAAAGCCAAACGCATGTTTCTCCAACACAACATCTCAATAGTCTATTGCTGTAGATCTGCAGTCTCTAGCGGAACGCTACGTGTATGGTATGTGTGTTGATCAGGGTTTCTTTGTTGTGGGATGCTAGGTTCATATGTCGCTCCTATCAGGCAACCGGACTCTGCCGCTCTCTGAAAGCGGAACACTGCACGGCGCTAGCTCAGCTGTGGTCTCAAAGGAACTCCCAACCTGGTGGTCCCACCCCCTGTGAGTGGGTCTCTTTCCTCAGCTGTGGCATGAGGTGCATAGGCCCAACAGAAGTCTTTACACCCGCGAAGATTAACGTGGAACCTGAAGACTATTTTGTTTTCCTCTACAACCCAGAGTGGTTTTCAGGTTCCATGTTAATCTTCCAGGGTGTAGTATTGACTCACAACCTGGAGGAGGGCAACATCAACTTCCAAGTTGATCTGGGAGTGGCTAGGTTAGTTCAGCGGTGTGTTGCGGTGTGCAGTCTATCTTCCTATCAGTTGCTTTGCATCTCTGCAGAGGTAAAGGCTGCTGCTTACCGCAGCACAGGTCTGGGTCGCAGCCCGAGTCTGCCATTGGTCTTGTGGGATTCCCACACGACCAGTGGTTGGTACAAGACATATGGTTTCAACAGATGTATGGTTGCCACATTGTCATTGCTAGTTGTTGGGTGTGCGTGTTGTGGGTGCGTGTGCGTGTGGGTGTGCGCGCGCTCTTCACACAGGTCTGGCTGAGGAGCTGAAGGGTTTCACAAGGCTTTGCACGTGATACTTGACAAGGTGTCTGTCCGATTGGAGTACGCCACCAGAATGATGGGCATGTTTCAGAGGCGACGTCTTTGGAATGCTTTGTGGAAAGGTGAAGAAGCATATGGCATATGCAAAACAACTTGAGATGAGTACCCCTTGGCAATCTATTTTAACTTGGAAACACAGGGTCCTGATCAAATAGAATTTTGGAATCTTGAAAAATATGACAGCTGTGAGCTGTTTCGATTGAAATGTTCCATATAGATCCATAGTCTACTTGGGGATAATCCCGCTGCATCACACCGACTCCCGACGTCTCCCCACCACTTCGATCTGTGGAGTCCCAAAATCGCTGATCAAACCAACATCAGCCAACATCCGGCTGAGGCTTTAAATGTCCTGTTTGGAAGACGATAGGCCGATATCAAATCCCTGAAATCGCTGAATGAGGCACAAAAGGAAATCAATGGAAATCATGTCTGATCCCTCCTTCCTGTCCATTCCTTTCTTCGTGTCCGCCCCTTCCTGGCCTCGTGCGAAGAAGGACTCATTCTCCTGGCATTGAACGAATCACTTTATCTAAAGGAAGATGGAACCTTCTACGATCCTGTGTCTGGATGGTTCATAGACACACGACGAACGAAACCACTGGTGGTGGGGAATGTAACCTCTTCCGTCTTGGAGCGTCTCTCGGTCCATGTTGTTGGGTTGATCTTCTTGGAGGAGCTGTTGAGATTTGTGCCATGGCTTGCTTTGAGCAATTCGCATCCCAGAGCATCAAAGCGCACAATTGTTTCTCAAAAGTCAGGCAAACATCACCACGGTCATTTGAAGAAGTTCCAATTTCTTGGCAACGAGTCCAAATCCCCCTAAACCTGCCCAAGGAGAACTGCTACAGACGTCTCGGATCTCGCATTCAACCTCTCCCCGGCCACGGTGCCTCCGGATGGTCATCTTCGACGGTTGGAGCACCTCCAGACATGACCCGTGAAGAAGCCGGGGGCCCACGGGTCAAAATGCTCCGAGAGCTTTCGAAAGGACTGGTACCCTCCATTCAACAAACATGGAAGTGGAACATGGGCCCGAAAGGAAGACTGTTTTCCTCTAAGAACAGGCCATGTTCCACTTCCATGCTTAGGACTGGTACTGGCTTCCTTTCCAACAAGATGTTTGGTCACATCGGCCCCTGATGGTCACGGAAGCTTCAAACAGGTCACAGAAACTGGGCTGGTGGCTGAAGGACTACCAAGCGCAACATGGGCAGGGCGCAGATCATGAATTGCTCATGTTTTCCCTACAAGGTGTTTCTTCTCCTAGTATCTATTTATCTATACACTTACTTACAGTAGTGCAAACCACCATCATCATCGCCTCGTTTGTTCGTGGCAAAGGTGCGGGGAATAAGGTGAGAACACCGGCATGAAGCAAAGCTACGCCTAGTTGCCATCCCGGAACAATAGCTGAAAGAAATTGACACTTCCAACTCCCTGGGCTTGGGCAGCCACTTTTGGAGACTGGCATCTCTCAAACGTTCTAAAGCGGGCCATTCCGGATCCCGATCGGACCCACCTGCCACGTTGGGCGCTGAAGCCTTGCAAAGCTGCGATGTTTTCATTTGATCGACAGTTTTTTCCAATAGTTTGGAGGCCTTCGACGTGACAAGTGGATCGACGGGCACGGGGAGTGCTGTTAGGGCTGCAAGTTGGGTGTGGAGGTCTAACAGGTCTCGTTTGATGCATCTTGGGTCCTGAAGCCGTGGATCAAACCACTCAAAAAGAACATTGAACTGCTGAGGTGAAGATTCCTCGGATGTTAACCAGAAGAGGAACCGGGTTAGAGCCGGATTCGGAAACTAATCGGTCGGATTCTGAAACTAGGGTTCTGAAACTGGGGTTCTGAAACTAGGGTTCTGAAACTTGGATTCTGAAACTGGTATTCTGAAACTGGGGTTCTGAAACTAGGATTCTGAAACTGAGGTTCTGAAACTAGGAGTCTGAAACTGGGATTCTGAAACTTGTATTCTGAAACTGGAAAGTCAGATTCTGCAACTGGTATTCTGAAACTGGAAAGTCAGATTCTGCAACTTGCCTTCTGAAACTTGCAACTGGTGATCTCCACATCATGCGATAGCGTGTGTGCCTGTGACATCACCTTCGAAGCACATCCAAACCAACGTCATTAGCCCCCCACCCAACCCCCCCACCCCCCAACCCCCCCTTGTCCCCATCGTGTGATCTCGACATTCCTCATCATTCACAAAGTTGTGGAATCCTAGGGAGGGAGTCCACAATGTTGCGGAATCCTAGTTGCGGAACGCCAGTTGCGGAATCTCAGTTGCAGAATCCTAGTTGCGGAATCCTAGTTGCGGAATCTTGACAGTTGCGGAATCCTAGTTTCGGAATCCTAGTTGCGGAATCCTAGTTGCGGAACTCTAGTTGCGGAATCCTAGTTGCGGAATCCTAGTTTCGGAATCCCAGTTGCAGAATCCCAGTTGCGGAATCCGACCAAACAGTTGCGGAATCCTAGTTGCGGAATCCTGCGCAGTTGCGGAACTCGACTTTATCCAGAGGAACCGAAAAGGCAAGTCGTCGTTCAGCGAATCCTGCATGATACTTAGGGATGTGTGGTTTTGACCCCCAAATGGACCAATTATGACACTTAAACCACCAAAAGACAAGGCATCACAGCACCCCTCTCTTGGCCAAGACCCTGCCGTCGATTTGAGACTCTGAGTCTCCAGACGCCGGAGGCAAGGCCCTGCAGTCGCTGATGGCGTTGGAAAATGCGGCTTTGAGGCTTCGGACCCCCTAACTTCGGGCTTGGTCAAAAGCCTAACATCAGCGGCCAAGCCTGACACGTTTCCCGAGGTTTGATGCTTTTTGTCCCAATTTCCCCCACCACTGCGGGGGGGGGTCCTTTTTGGGGGTCCTATAGGGGAGTCCTTAAAACCACCTCCAAAACCGAGGCAAAGTGGACATATCTACTGCCATCGCTTGACGTGTGATGACTTCTCAGATGGACAGAGGCCGGAAAGGCTGTGGAAAGCCGGTGGAACATCCATGGGCACTATCCACGTATCATGCTACAAAACTCCACATGCAGCGTCTTCCAGAAGAGTTGCCTACCAATCTGCATCACCTACCTTTCCGCATGCCGCCCACTCTGCGCCCACTCTGCCCTTCAGTTCCACCCGGTCGCGGTCATCTCGTCCGCCTCACGCCGAGTTCGTGGGGATGCCTCGCCCAGCTGCGGCGCCGACCTCGACAGCGGCGTCTGGTTACTGGTTACAGCGGGGTACCTGGGTGGGTGGTATTGAGCAAGAGTCGAATGTTGACTCCCACCAAAAGAATAGAATGGGAAATCGTGTCATCCAGGTGTACCCTCCATTTAAGAATCCATTGATGAGGTGGCCTGTGAGTTCAGACTTTCCACATAAGCTATCACAGGGCATGAACTGAGTTGCGCAGGAGTCCTCTCTTCCGTTATCAGCTTGGATGTAGCTGCTCCCAGGGCATTCAACAGCCTAAAGTCCTCAGGATGATCGCACATCCAACAGACTCTCTTCGTTCATGGCGAGGACATCTGTGAATCTGACCTCAAGCCCTGACCACCGTATCTGCGCTCGCCTTGACCAAGAAGTTGAAGCAAAAGGCTTCTTCTTGCCCCAAGGCCACATACCTCCCGGCCAAAAACAGTGTCGCCACCCTTTGCACAAGAGAAGTAAAATGCCTTTTAATATGATATGCGGGTGCGGATGTAGTGATTGACTTGAATTGTCAAAAAGGTCCTTGTCTGCCATCTCTCCACACGCAGGTTGAGCAAAGTACACAACGAAGTGAAGTGCCTACTATACGGTCGAGTGGTCCTAACTGGTGGCAAGATGTGGCAAGTGTCCACCAAGTAGCAGCTCAAAACTCCAAAGTGGGATATGAACATCGCCAAGTAGTACCGGTACCCTATTCTGTTTTGCTTGGAAAGACTCGGTTCGTTGTACTCACATCAGACAAACTCTTTGGAAACACGATCTGAAGGGATCTTGGGGTACCTATTCTTTGACCGCAATCTGAAGACACACCACAAGCTGCCCGGCGCACCGCTCACCCATCGGTAGTACCAGGGCGAGTGCTCGTTCTGGCACGCACGAGCTGCTCGTCAGTCGCGTTCGCTGGCCGAGCTCAGCCGGGGGACGCTGACTGATTCGGCAAAACATAGGAAGAGCAAGAAGTAAGGAAGTAAGTAGCCAACATCTAAGTCTGCCAAGAGTGGTCAATACACTATACGTAGAGGCAAATGAAAACCAGCGGGCATGTTCTTTTTCCTCGGATTCCTTCTGTCTCTTCCTGTATAGTTCTGCTTTGGGGGGCTAAGTACTTGTTGCTTCATGTTGTTGCCCAGGGTTTTGCATGAAAAGTCTGAACTCGCACCCCCAGGGAAAATTGGGAACCAATGATTTGAAACGTCAGTGTTCCCCTTCTGGGTACCCCATCTGGGTATCCTCCAAATTATCGCATACACATTCACATACAGCTCATCAGCTAGAATTGATCACCCACCACTCGCATTTATATTTGTTCTCTTTTCTCCTGAGGCCTTTGGGACCTCGGGAGGGAGACGTCCATAAATTGATGATAGTTGGCACCGATACCCCTCAGTCCATTGTTAAACATGGTCAAACTGACCCTCTGACCATCCTACACCATCTGCATCCGCCAAAGTACAGAGTCGCGCCCAAGCCGCTCGCGACCTCCCAGGATTCATCAGAGTCCAAGTTCCCATCGTCCTCCACGTTGGAAGGTCGCAGGTACCTACAGCTTTCGCCATGGCTCGCAGATTGCAAGGATCACCTGAACCAGAGGTCGTAAAATCCGTGGTTGGTCTCCTGTCACATACCCACATCAATCTACCCACTAGATAGTCTTAGACCCCATCCATGCAAATTCTGTACACAAATCTAGAATGGAATTTGGCGATCAAAACCAAAAGGCAGGGAAGTCATGGATGCGATCTAGGACTCTCAAAGCGATAGTGGTAAGGTGCCTCAAAACCATCCCTACAAGCTCAAAAAGAACGTGGCTTGGTGGGGTTGGTGCCCTGTGCAACCAACAACTCAGGCATCAAAAAACTGCTCTGCTGAAACTCTACCCTGCAGCTTTGACGAGGAAGTTCTACTAAATCCTGCACGTGTCCACCTGCTGTTAAGGAGTAAATAGACCGGGGAGGTCTTTTGCAGGAAAAGGACATGTTTCTATCTACTCGAACAAGAACAACTCGAAGTCATCTGTGGGAGCGCCAACCATGACTTGCAGGCAATGACGAGTGATGACCCACAACAATCTTCATCGAAAAGCTTCTCCACGGGCACTGCAGGGTGTCGTCGGGAATATGTACATGCTCGGTGTGTTTCATTAACCTCAGCGGCAAGCCAGTGGCACCAGTCAACATGAATATACATGAATTCAGCCTACATGGTCTATATACGTGAGATCACAACTTGGCACCAAGGGGATCAGGGCCAACTACGGAGAACATCTGCAGGTGGGGAGGCCATGATGAATCATGAAATCAAGCCCCTACGAAAGGCCGCTTCTACCTGGAAACACTTCCACATAGTGTCGACTATTTCGTTTCCACACCTGGCTGATTGGTCTGAAAAAAGGAATTCAAGTTGCTCAGGCTCCCATCTATTTGACCTACAAGTATCAATTGTTGAGGGAATCGCAAGTGTTCCTCACATCCTGGTTCGCTCGTGGTGTTCAAGCCTCTGAAAAAATGGTCCATGCATCCTATGAATCTCGGAATGTACCGGGACGCTAGGCTGGCCAATGGGTCAATGGGTGATTTGGGATTTCTCTCCATGCAGACACGAAAACCATCCAAACCACCTGGGAGGGAACTACGTCCTGTCACAATCGAACTATCAACTTCCCTCCTCCCATGAATCAACTGTCGGTCAAACAGAGCCTTTGGGCTCATCCACAACTGAGGGATCAGTCTCATGGGACGAGATCGGACGAGAGGAGATAGGTCAGTTTGCTTCACACTATGCCCATTTATGGTGTTGAAACCACGACGCGCGCCCTTGGGACCACGAAAAAGACCTTGTTCAAGAACACGACGAAATGGCATTGATAAATGTATGAATCTATGAAGTAAAATAAAATAATGAGCGAATAATTACATATATGTGACACTGCGAAATGACATTGCTATGATGGACGAATCGGGAAAATCTGTCCATCAGATCATCCCTGGCGACTCTTCAGGGGCTCCGCGCAGCTGACCAATCTTCACTGCACCGAGCTCCCCATCCTGGCGCGGGCGAGCGGACCCGGTGGACCCGGTGGACCCGGTGAGGGCCCCAAAAAAGGAGACGACTCAGCCGGTAGTCTCATTCATTGCCCATTCGGTCGCCCCATTCTCATTGGCGTGTACTTTTACACCAGTGATTCCACCGTGCTCTTGGGTATTTACTTGCATTTTGAGACTCACTGGCTACGGTACCGAGTGCAGCACAAGGGATTCTTGTTCTTTCAGTTCCAACGGGGCTCCACTTAAAACGAGTCCCGGATGCTCCAGGGAAAAGATACGACTCAGCATGACTCATTCGCCTTGTTTTGAGGTGCCCAATGAGTGTGGCATGTTTCTGCGAGGCCCCTGCCAGTGGCTCCTGCCCGTGTTTGTCAGGCCTCGTCATGATAGGTCTTCATCATCTTGAAAAATTTGATGATGTCCTCCAGCGGCAGAACATGTCTCTCGCCATAGTCCCTTGGTTACTCATGACTAGAATTGACCCATGGGGAATGAGGAACCCTGGAGCCCCTGTCTTGACTGGAATCGATGCTCCTGCACCTCCTGATCATCGCATCGCGCTGAAAATTTGTCGGATAGTACAGTAGCGTGTCTTGGATTCTTCTCTAGCAAGATTGCTGTCCACATATGTCCAAAACGCCTGTCTTCAGGATTCAAATTAGAGGATCAATACTGCACCTCAACCCATTGTGTACCCATCAGGTGCTTGAACATCTCCACACTCATTCCACCATGAAAAACGGTTTTCGGTTTCAGAAACGCCAACTGACCGGGTCGCCTCGAACTCCATGGACAGCAAGGAGTCTTTCAGTACCTGGACGTTGCATGGCCGCAACTTCGGTCGTGTGCAGTGCACCAGCGGAAGAACTCTCCAATGACTGACTGCTCTTCGAATTAGAGGGCTCACAACGGTCTTCGGCGTATCTCCGGAGCCCCCCCCTCAAAAAAACCTTTCATTGTGGTGTATCCAGTTGATTGTCGGTGAATCTCCTGAAGCCAATCGACAACAACTCACTCGCGTGGGCGCTCCAAAGGGCGCCTGCAGGATGGACACGGCGATGCGCAAGATCACGGGAAGGCCCTCGCACATAATCACATCCCAAAGGATCATGACCTCATTTGGCAATTTTTGACCACCCTCCTTCGGGTTTTCGAGTGGAGGCTGCGGAAGGGCTTCTGCGATTCGAAGTTGCTTCTAGGCAAACTGGGCCTGATATGGCCACATGATAGGTGGTGCACAATTCGCAGCTTCGGTCGTGAGAGAATGCAGGGATGGAATGGAACAGGGATCATCACACGGCTTTCAGGCACTGCAGGTGTTGTCCATACACAAAACGTCCCGCCCATTCATTTCGGCTTACTTGAAAGCCGATCTCCACCATCCCCTCTCGCCGCGCGAAACACGCGCTTGTTTGCGCGAAAATCGGGCCGCGGCCATCGAAATGGGGAAGCAGTTGATGAAGAGAGTGAGAAACCACTGGTGGAGGTACCTGCAAGCAACACTGCAGCGGCCGCCGCAGGTGTGCCGCCACAAAACCACCAGGTCAAAACATGAGAGATGAACAGAAGATCACCATCATCTTTTGAAGCTGGTATGATACTGCGCAGCACCAGAATCATACCCAACTGCCATTCTTTCATCCCAAGTCTTTGGCCAATAACGCGAACCTCTGCAGGATGCTGCTTGGATCTTTTCTTGCAAAGCACCAGATCTCCCTGCGTACGCCCTAGGAACCAGTCACTGGGTCTTTCTTCAACAAGGTTCAGGGCACATGTTGGACAACAATCTCCACGTGAACAAACCGGGCACGACCACGCCGAACACGCACCCTCAAACCGATTGCTCCGGGCCGGCCCTTTTTCGGGTGCCTTCAACGTCACTTCGGTCGCTTCAAATCGTTCAAGTCGATCGCTCCTCCGTTTCCAAAAGTACGTACTCTAGTTAAGGCAGCAACACACGTTTCTTGCTGTTTTTCTCTTTCCTGCGCAGAATGGGTTTTGGACAAACACGTGTGAAACATGGTGCTTTTGCCTTCAATTCAGAGCAGCCTCGTTGAACTGCGTGGAGGTGGCGATTTCGACCCTAAGAGATGCAGGCCTTGGAGCCGAAGTTTATGGCTCCTCACCGGCAGGAGGCAGTGCAAGCGCCCTTGCCCTTCCAGGTTCCTTGCATGGGTTGTCCATCACATGGGTTGTTGCCATCCAAGTAGCGGTCATCTTGCGTCAGGCAGCCTGGGGCGCAAGATAGCTCGCGGCCCGGCCATGGCCACACAGTCAGCAGTGGCACGAGTTCTGGGATAGGTAGACATCAAATTGAACATATAAAGAACTATTGCAGAATGTGGGGATCTGGGGTTTGCTTAACAGGGGTAGCTGCTGGGATATGTCTACCTTGTTACAAAATGGCACGATCTCTCGCCCAAACTTGTGGTCTCCAAAAGCAAAAGATCAAGGCAGAAACCCATCTCTTGTTGACTGACATTCTCTGGCAAATCGAAACATCTTGCTCTCACCAACAGTCGACAGATCTTACAGCCACACACGCCCAAAAAGTTTTTAGGACCAAACCACTGCTTGCGGAGTTTCAATGAAATACATCTATGCACAGTTGGGCAGCGCATGGCAGCGCACTACAAGCCAAAAGAATTCTGTGCTGACATGGCAAACGCGCTCCCTCAAATCCTCCACTAATCGCGAGTGCACATGCCTCATGCAAAGTAATTCATTGATCTTTTACTTTTACTAAGCCACTCTTACACCACCTTAGCCTTGGACTGAGAAAGAACCTATGCCAGCCTTGGCGTATCCCCCCACGTGCTTCAGGTGACCACAGTACCTCATGTCCAAGCAACTGTCTGATCCGATGCAAGGGTAGCCCCCGGGCTCGTCATCCCACTTGTAGAACCTGAACCAGTCGTACTCACTCGTCATGGGATAGCGGTTGTTGTGGATCTCCTGAGATTCAGCGGAGGCAGGAGGGCAGGACGGAAGGCAGGACATGTGCAGTTCCTCCGTTCCTCCCCCAAAACCCACCCATTCTGACTCAGGCGAAAGCAATGACTCAGGCGACCGTCTAACCGGTCATGGACTGCTCCACATGCGTGTTGGTTCACCTCACGAACACCCGCCGGCGACTTGCTCTATTGGACCCCTTCTCCATGTTCGATATGCATGCAACTATACATAATATATATTATATATATATGTATATTAATATCCATATTTTAATATATATATATATGTGTGTGTTGAAAAATAAACATGTCTTTCAAGTGACAAGTTTGGTCATCCTTCACAAGTCCATCACCACAGAATCAGAATCTGCATGCTGCTACTTTCGTTTCAAACAGGCAGCTTCCGTTAGCCTCTCTCTTCTCACTGTTTTGCCCATGGGCGAGGACAGCATACTCACATTGTGAGATTTGAGCAGTTGAGTTGATCGAATCGCTGGCAATGATTCGAGAACAAATACTTCAGTCCTCAAGCATAGCCGCGTAAAAACATGGCTGCGATAGTGGCTGCGATGCAATCTTGGCAACCATGCAAAAGCTCATTTGTCAATGTGGGTATCCCCAATGTGGGACACCGAGTCAGGGTCACGTGATCCGCATTTCGATTATGATACAGTAGTGCCTTTGCAGATTGCGACTCCGCAGGTTGATGACTTGACCTAGAGTCGCAACCTGCAAAGGCCCTGTATATTCTCAATGCGGACGCACTGAGCGACTCGGACTCGGTGGCCACACGGAAGCAGACCTGCTCTGCAAAGGATGAACACCCAATGTGGGTCACCGAGTCAGGGATGGCCACACTTTCCCAAGTGCGATGAGGACCTGTGCTCTGTTGACTCCTCTTCAGTGTCCACGGATTCAACGGAGGTAAACACCAAAACACCTCGCGCTGTCCATTCGAATGTTCTCTCTCTGCGCAGGGACCGCTGGTCTGTGACCTCTGCGCGGCGGGCGCTCTCCACGCTGCACTGGGTCGAAGAGGCGCAGCGATAAACCATGGAGCGAGGCAAAAAAATCCACAATCCACGGTGTCGACACGTGGATCGGACAAATAGATCAAACATGTAGAGATATATGAGATATGTAGCTTGCGGCCATACACAGAGAGCAGTCAGGGAAGGTAAATTGATCGGTAGTAGCCAGTCTGATCCAGTCTGTCTTCAAAGATCAGGTCGGCTGTACAGAAAGAAGATCCTGGGATTCAATTTGAACCTGCACCGTTCAACAATCGAGGGTTGCTCGTGAACCACGAGCAGAAGTCCACATGAGAAAAACGTTGGGAAAGTGATGTTTCCACTTAGTTGGCTCAGTGGGAGGAAAGAACAACACGAGACTTAGCCGTTTACTTGCTCTCGGCACAAGAAGCATCGACATTCACTCCAATGTAGAGCAGTGAAGCTCACCCTCCCAACTCTTGTATTTTCATCCTGTTTGTTCAAGGCGGACTAATTACCGGATCAAAGCATGGATCACCAGGGCGGTCATTTGACGAATGTGAGGCGCATTATGGACTTGATCGACTTGCTTGCATGAGTATGCTTGGCAATGATCGTTTGCTGAAAACAAAGATCCAATCACAAATTCATTATGCTAGGATGCTAGACACTGCTTGTTTATCACTGCAAGCATCACATCATGTCACACATTGCAATGAGCTACCAAATGGATGGCGAATCTTTCGGCTGTGGTTTTCCGCCTGGGTGATTATCTTCAACCTGGGTGGATCCCGACCACGGGTCCCGAACCGCTCACCCCAATCTGCCCTCGCCCTAAGCCCGCCCTTCCCATCCCTCCATGCACGATGCCCTAACCCGCCCATGGGGGGGTCCATGCCGCTATTCCTCTTTGCCGAAGGTCTTTTCCTCCAAAGTTGGCCTTGGGCCCGAAGATCCACAAGTTCATCATGATCTTCGCCGACTTGTCCGGGATGGGCGGATGGCCCCCGTAGTGGGTCCGGACCACCTTGCCGTCGATGAACCAGGTGACCTTGTTGGGCAGCCATTCAAAGCCTCGGCCAACACGGAGCGTTCGCACCTTGCCGCGGTTGAGAAGGAAACAGGATCAAACAGGTGACTCCAGAAACTGACCCTCCAAAGCAGTGAATTCCATGCTTTTGTTTGCGGCAGTGAGACTTCCTGCACCCGAAAACCTACAGCAAATACGAAACGAGGGGTTTGAAGAATGATGGCTGAGTGCTCTAGATGTTGTGGCTCTGCTACAGTAGTGTCTTCCATGGAACAAAGCGGTTGGGAGAGGCGGGCGAGGTAACCGTGTCACCTAGAAAAAAGGAGCTCAAAAACAGTCAAGTCGGCCAAAAAACAGTCCCAAACTCCGTGGAAAAGTGAAAAACAAGTCAGAGAGAGAGAGAGATATAGAAATGGCAGAGGGGTTATGAGTCTGGTGTGCTTGAATGTTCAAACTGTCTTCGTTAGTGCTGATGATTCATGCCCCGCTGTGGTATTCCAGGCGAGGAATCGCACCTCTGTGAGGTTCTAGGCTTCTCCACAATCTAATGCTTCTATTGCCATGACAGCAAAGCCTTCACTTGTTGTCACCATCTCTTGTTCCAAACCTTTCCGTCTTTGCATCTCTGTTGGCCTTTAAATATGAGAAACATCGTGTCTTTTTTTGCTCCACACAGTCTGAAAATTATCCCTTTCCCCTGTCCCCTGAGGTCATCGGTGTCATTCTCCCGCCACTTCGTTCCCCAAGTGGCCATAGGTGTGGAAGTCCTCCCGCGCGTTTCCTCAGTGAGCAAAGGGCCGAAATCGGCTACATTGCGGCTACATGTCTTAAAACGGTCCCAAAAGCAAAGTATCACCTTGGCAGTTTACATTGATGCATGTACTGATGTACTCCTTGTTCCATGTTCCAAAATTTCAAACTCTTTGAACCTCAAACTGATACGGCTTGGAGCAAGATGTTGCAATCAAGTCTTACCTGCATCTATCCAAAAGTCTTCCGTGAAATCCCGGAAAATTAATCATACTGAATCTCTCTAAGGGCCCCCGTTCCACGCCCTAAATGACATCTCAAAACGATTAAAAACGGTGTTCTAGATGCTTCTGGGGTGAACATCGATCCCTCTTCAGGGCCTCTTGGGACCTCCGATCTTCGACCCAGGCACCTCCCACATACGCCTCACGGGAGGCGGCGATCCGCGGGCTCCACCACTCGGTGTTGTCCGCGCTCAGGACGTTGGTCGTCACCTGGACTCTGTTGCATGTGTTGGTTTCAGAGATCCAGGGGCTCTGCTTCAAGAAGATGCTCTGATTCATCCCAAGAGATCCCAAGTCATTGAGTTCATCTGAGCTGATATCCCAAGTCACTGAGTTCTTCCGGTCTCCGGTGACCTCGATGTCAATTTCTCGCCAGTGGTGGAACCTCGCGCGAGATAGGCGGGCGGCCAGTGGCGGGTGCAGACGTGGCGCGTGTGGAGCAAGGGTCGGTGACGGCGGATGGACTTCAGGGTGCAAAGG